ACAACACACATTACATTGCTTGTTCTCTCTCTAGCTCGGACCTCAACGACGAATCAAGTTATCTTTGGCTGACTTAATCGTTTGCATATTCATTCTTCAGCAAATGCATGGACAACATAGCCATACACCAGTATGGCAGAAATATAGAACCAAGTCTGTGACTCGGACTTGAGTTTGACTTGAGTTGCAAATTCTCAAACTTAACTTCAAGTTACAATGGATGATGACTCAAACTTGGCTCTCATGACTCAACTCATGACTCAGACTAGACATCGGGGACATGTCACTGGTGAGTCAAATTTCACTGACTCAATGAAACATTGGCAAAACTGTCTGGTAACACATTAAGCTATTGCTGATCGAGTGCAAAATTTGGTTTTTTGTCGGTAACAATTGGTTGAAATAAAGCCTTTATATTCTGATACATTCTGCTTTGCAGATACGAAAATGGGAAGATCTGATAATTTCACTTGAAATTCTATAGACTACAGAAATTCATGCAATGTTTTTGAGACTTTTAAAATTCTCCAAATATCACTGAGCCAAACTTTTACCCCAAAGTCACCTTGAATTCCTCCACAGGGTCTTGCTTATCTATCTGTTTTTGCAGTGTGGTAATGGTGTTCGGTAGTGACTGACCCAATAAGCACCAACCTTATCCGGTCTGGTGGGCGTCATGTGTCACATCTCAGCGTCGCTGACCACGCGGTCTTGGTCCTTCTAGAAGGGATGTTGGTGTCAGAACCCCAGGAGCTAGAATTGTCTCACCGTGAGTCTAGGACCTGGGGAAGAAGGGAGGGGGAGAATAAAACATCAAATTTCACTGATAAAATACTGTAACTATAGTCACCCATGGTTATTTTTGTAAACAATTTTGCACATATTTCATGTTGTTCGAATGTTTAAACATTTAGCCAACATTATCAGGCTGCTGCCGACAATGCCAAGAACTCATTTTACATTCTCCTGGATCAGAATCTCCTTGTCATTCCTCTGTTGGATAAAATCCTCCTCCTTGGTGACTTCATATAGGGATCTTGTACAGGGACCACATTCAGTCTGGAGTGGTGTCATAAACAAGCATCAGTTGTGACAACAGATTGCATCAAGTCAACCTGCACGCTGACTGAGACCTCACGATCACCAATACATTATGTCAGATGTCTGATAAGTTTATCTTATTTTTTTATGAATACCTCAATATTTTCAATATTTTTAGCATCCTTAGAAAATATATAGTGAAAAAATCCATCTAGATTTCAAATTCAGGAAAAACAACTTCTAAGGAAATTTTGCATGCATGTGTATCTCACGACGGAAGAAGTCCAGTATTTCAGACATTTATGGGGATATATAACCCCATCAGATTTCTTTAACTCTTTCAGGAATCTTGATCTTAATCTGGCAGAATCCTATTTAATTTCTATTTAAGATTTTATCAAGAAAAGTGGTAAAATATATATTTTTTATCCTATTCAAAATAAGTAGGCATAGCTGCACTATTTTATCCCTATTTTTCTGGCGGCCATCCTATTTTATTTCTATTTTTCAAACTGCATACTATTCGTCTATTTTATTTCAATTATCCTTTCTTAAATTGATTCAGTTGTATTTATTTGCTCATTTCATGTATGTATACTGCTAAAGATACTCACTTATCAAATGTATGCAAATGATTTTGCATTACCGCCATGTGTGCACATTTCCAACATGAGAGATCATCTGCCATATGGATTTCTGTGCTCTACATGTACGTGCATATTAAGTTGTAACCATTGTTTGGATACTATTTTTTTTAAATAGCGTCCTATTTTTTTAAATAGCAACCTATTTTACCACGATATTTTTTTACTATTTATGTCCCCCTTTTTTGGGTGGTGGCAAAATACAATGGAAAAAAATAGATTAAACAAAATATATTTGATTCAATAGGAATTTAAAGAAAAAAATTCTCCATTTGTTTTCCAACCCAAGTGAGCAAATAGATTGCTATTGGAACAAAACTAAATTAACACTAACACATTATTTTTCAGGCTGAAATTTGAAAATCACCAGGGCTGCTTACTGCACAAATAGCATTTGTCTTCTGATTCTATATTTGTGGGGTCACCGGGGTCATGGAAACACTGACTGATATTTCCACACAGGAAACCTGCACCGGATGTGAGCAAGAAAGTATCCGGTACAGTACATGTATACATGGACTCCAACAGCTTCTTAAAATAGAACTGGGAATTTACGCCCTGTGTGCAATGATAGTTCAACATTCATGTTCATGTACAGTGCATTGCATTCACATCAAACTGTGTAAACTACAGATACTGCAACATCTTTCAGAAGGATAATTCTAAATTGCTTTCTAAAACTAACTTCAATTCAGGTAAGTGTATATATTTGTTAAGAATCATGGAATAATATGCCAGTTTGTGCAGCATTGATCTTACCAAAGAGAGAGTCAATGCTCGAATGCATAATACTCTTAGATTTGCACAAAAACTTCCCTGTTCAGTCTACCTTGAGAGGACTAAAAATATTCTTGATCCAAAATTTGCATCTGAATCTGAAATGAAAGTTTATAAGTTGAACAAAGAACTTTAAGTGGGGGTTGAACCTATGACTTGCGGATTACCATACTGATGTGACACTCTTCTAACTGAGCTATCGCGGACCAGCCCTATGTTGGCTGTTCCCCAATATGAAATTGTCTTTGTTCAACGGGTAAGCCATGAATGTGTTTATGAATGCAGCCAGGGTTCACGCCTGAAGTCAGGATGCTAGCAATATTAGCAATGCTGCAAACCAAGATAACTCAGAGAGGATACGGCTTTTTGTTTCAAACTTTCAGATAATCTAAACGTTTGGGAAACTGTGCAGGTACATTGAAATAAATTTAAATTCTTAACAATTTAAACCAGTGTGGTAATTAGAGTACTGTTTTGTGCTAATTAACCAAACTGCAAATAAGAATACTGGGGAAAACACATTCTACACCTTTGTCAATTAATTTAGAAGAGAAACTCCTATTTTTCCATTGTTGTTTTCCAAAACATACTTTACAAACAAAAAAGATCAATTTTGACAAAATTTACTGAATCCTTGTGTTGGGAGAGAAAGAGGGTTAAAAGAAACAAAAATTATTAACGCTCATTCTTGTGGTTGTGGACTAGTGGTAAAAATGAAGGCTAACTAAATCAATTTTTTAAGTTTTCATCAAGATTTGATTTGGCAAAATAAATTGAGGGTCAAATCATTTAAATTAACTGATTCCACTTAATTACAAAGTGTTAAATGTTGATAACACATTCAAACACCCCTAAATGTACTTCATCAGCATGGACTCAACTTACATTATGTAGGTTTGCAGAATCATTTGTACCCAAAATCATTGTTTTTATTGAAAGTCAAGATCCAAGTTTAAAAGTTTTTCTTCAAAGTTTGAATTTTAAAGACAGCACACTCATGTTTGCTTAAACCATTCATTGATATGTTTACAGTAATATTTTGAATCAACAATATTAAAGTCCTAATTGATAGTCTTATTCCTAACATTTCTCCATAACACTTTTAGATTGAGATTTATATAATCCCTTTTAAATGTGCAAGGCCCGATTTCTGTTTTCCAACTTGTATGAAGGATCATCAATCAAACACTATAAGTTACACAAGGATCAGTGCTGCGGGTTTTTATGAAATCAGCAAGCCCATGGAGAGCTGTACTAATATTTTTTTTTGTAAGTGTCTTCAGTATTAACGTACCATTGAACTGATGGAGATTACATGTAGATGAAATCAAGTTAATTTTATTTAATCACTGATTCAATAAAAAAATGAAAATCAAAAGCATTTACCAATTTATTGAGTTTTGTGGATGTTGGGTATAATAAGTGATGGGTGTAAAGGTGCAAGGGGCGATTTAGACACATTTTTAGACATACCAACAATTTGAAAGTTCAAAATATAAAATAAAAATCTGATTCAAATTAACAAAATATGATTTAATTTTAAACCAAATAAATCTGATTTTTTTTTTTTTAAATCAAAAAAATAAATAAAAATCGCCAACCCTGGTCTTAACTTTTGTTGTTGCTAACAGCAATATATTTCCCAGGATTGGTATTTTATACATAGGTATGCTTGTTAATTGTTTTCTTTGTACTTGATAGCATTCCAGGAAAGCCACCAGATAGTGATGAAGTTCGTTTTTGGCAATCCTTCAGGGGTGTTATCAATATTTTGCTGGGTCTTTTGGTTTTGTTTAGTCTGCGTTACACTGGCCTGTTACCTAAAGTGTTTGTATTGTATTGTGTGTCTGTCTGTGTTCTTACCTTAGAAATGGCAAATAAAATGAAATGAAATACATATTACCCTTAATATACATGCACTGAATTGTGTTTTGGTAAATGGTTGAAACAAATGTTGAATTGAATTGAATGACCACCAAAAGGGGGAGGGCCATGCATCCCACTCTGACCCCGCCCCCTTACCCAACAGGTAAGGAGGTACTGTTAAGAACTAAGTGTCCCCTTCAGAAAGTGGGGCCACCCAATGCACTCTGGATCTATATGTACTGAATATATAAAATAGTGGGCTACAATTGATACCCAAGAACTGAGGAAACAAAACATGTTGACAATGTGGGAGTGGATCATTTCATATTGAAGTCAACTTTTGATACTTTTATCCATTCATATAGGTTCAACAAAAAACGTGTCTCATCAAGTGGTCAAGATGGCATCTAATGTCACAGCTCAATCAGTGTTGCAGAAGATTAGTGTGGATCATCTGGAATGCTCCATCTGCACCAACCATTTCAGGCAGCCCAAACTGCTGGACTGTTTGCATAGTTTTTGTCTGCAATGCCTCCACGGTCTGAGACAGAGCCAAGATCCTAGTGGTACCGGTACAAAGCTGCAATGTCCTCTATGCAGACGTGAAACCATGTTGAAAGGGTCTGGGGTTGCTGATCTCCCTAATAACTTTGCATTCAGTGCCCTGGTGGAGGAAGTTACAATGCAGAAAAAACTACTGGAAGGTCAAGGGTCAGAGATCAAATGTCAAGCCTGTGATGAGGAGAATCAGGCAATTTCAAGATGCATGGACTGTGATCATTTCCTCTGTCAAGATTGTCAAAAGGCACATGGACGTATGACTGTCATGAAAACTCATCAAATCTATACAATGGCTCAACTTCGTTCAGGAGAGATTGTCTACAAGAGTAAACTTAGAGAAGAAGTTCCCAAATGTGGCAATCATCCAGATCAGAATCTGAATGTCTACTGCAACTTATGTGAGCAAATCATATGCACAACTTGCTCTGTACTTGATCATGCAAAACACTCACTCATTGGATTAACTGAGGCTGCAGAGAAATGTAAGAAGAAGGTCACAGAAATGGTTCAAAAAAGTGAGAGCAGAAAAACAGAATTGAGCACAACCATAGAAGAGACCTCCAAATCTCAAAAAGAGCTGGACACCATGTTTGCCAACACTCAAAACAAAATATCCAAAAAGGCTCAACAAGAGATTACAAAGTTCAAGCAGGAGGTTGCAAAGATCCAAAAAGAGATTGCAAAGATCCAAAAGGAAGAACAGAAATTGTTGAAAGAAACAGACATGATTTATAAAGACAAACTCAAAGCTCTTGAAGCTGCTCAATCAACCAACAGCAAAGAGGTGTCACAGACAGAGCACAAGCTGGAGGAGGTCAAACAACTTATGAATCAAGCAAGTTGCTACGAGATTCTTGAACTTCAGCAGAAGCTCTTGCATAACCTTAGTGAATTGACAGGGAAACAGCCACAGCAAGTTCCTGACAACTTTAACTTCATGGACTTTGAAGAAGGTGAGGAGAGGTCACTTGGGAGACTCATTCTGGAGAAGCCACGGGCTGCAGAAAAGCTAAAGCTAAGACCTGCAAGATCATGTGTGAAGGAGAAATGGGAACTGAAGACTGAAGTCAAGAACTTTGAATTACCAAATGCATTTATAACACATGTTGAAGCACTCTCTAACAACAAAGTAATGGCACTCTCTATTAAATCAAACATATTATTCCATAAAACCAATATGTCACCTACCATACATCCAATCATCACAGTCTCACTGCCGGGAAGTCAACATGAGAGAACTCCAATTCCACAAAGGCTGCAAATCAATGGCCTCACCAATGTCATGTGTATTGCAGTGAGCAAGGATGACAAGCTCCTTGCTCTAGATGGTCCAGTAGTCAAGGTCTTCAACAAGCAACATCAGCTCCTCCATCAGTTCACACCAGGTAGAGGGTCAGACAGCCAACCAACATGCCTTGCAGTGGATGACAGCAATCTGATAGCAGTGGGTTACAAAGGCAAGAATGAGATATCTCTACACAACCCAGATGGATCCCTCATCAGGAGACTGCCTGCTCCTAGGATTGCGAATTGTCTGACAATGTACAATCAGTGCCTTATCTACTCATGCTACCCAACATGGTTCAACAAAATGTTGTTATGTGTAGACTACTATGGTGCCAGTGTATTCTCAGTAGACATGACCAGTATGCAGAGGGGTTTGTTCCCTACTGGTGTGTGCTGTGACAGTGATGGCAGCATCTATGTTGCTGTGTGCGGACATCCAACAGGTGACATTCTGCATTACAGTCCTGATGGCAAGTACATTGGATGTGTCATCAAGGGATGTGGTTCTCCACGTGGCATCACATTCACATCAGAGGGTGATCTGGTAGTGGCTGCAGGACAGTCTGTAAAGGTCTATCACCGAGTGTAAGGACAGATTAATTAAACTGGAGCTATCCAGTGTATCCACCAACCACTTCCATCCGACATTGAATATTGTTAATTATCACTGAAAAGAACCTTGAAGTTCATCCCTCGAATAAGGCATTCAACAATACTCTATATTTGGTTTATTTCTAAGGTATTTGCTCTCCGTACGTGTTGACTCTCATACCTCAACCACTTCCCCTTTCAAAAATCTTGGACTTCAACACCCACTCTACTTGCCACTTCCTATAAAATCACAGATCTCGGGGCACAATAATGACAGCAAAGAAATGACCCTTCACATTGTTTGCAAATAGGGCAGATTGCACATTTTAAAATTATTAAAAAACGAGAGGGAAAATATTACCACGAGAGGCAATTCAATTTTTTCGGATTCATCTCAGCAAATGCAAAGTCAATGCATGATGTGTTTTAAAAGTATAAGATATTGTTATTCAATATTTCCAATTATGGGGAAAATTGTTGAGTTAAAAAAAACACAACTTAGTTTTAAATGAGAAAGATTTTGCACCTCCGTGTACATGAGACAAAAGTAAATACTCAAAAGCAACTGGACAAAATATGAGATTGTGAACTAAAGTGATAGTTTCAAAGTAAATCATATGCAATCCCTTGGTTGTCTCTTTCACAGTGCTTTCTGAGTGCCTCTTCAAACTAATATTAGTTTCATTACATTTACAACCAAGTTGAAATGAAAACCTTGTGCATTCTACTGCAATGATACATGGATGTTTGTAATGGATGTGGTTGGTATGATGGATGTACATTTGTAAATTGATATTTTTTTCTGCCTTTCTCATATGTGATTGTTAACATACTACAATAGAAGGTGCATTTAGAGCATTCTATGAATTTGGGGCTCAGTTTTTCCTGTCCCTATACGTCTAGACTTGGTCAAGGTGCTAGTTGTTTTTTTTATCCGGCCGTAGCGCGGTAATGCATGCAGTCATAATGCCTATGTGCTATGCATGCAGTACAGTGCATTAAAAATACAGCGCGAAAAAGCGACCTCACGCGGCCACTATTTTTATGCAAATCAGTTGGACCCAACAACAACTGGATGAAATATGTGTGATTTTGAACTAAAGCTATAGTTTCAAAGCAGTGGCGTAGCCAGGAATTTTTCAGTGGGGGGGGGGGGGGGGGCTGGAACATTTCATGGGGGGGCATCATGTAGATCAATGATAATTTTTTTAGAAACTCAAAATCTCAGTGGGGGGGGGGGGGGGCCACTGGGGGGGGGACAAGGCTTCATGGGTGGCAAATGATAATCTAGGAGGTTACAGGGACAAAAAAATGTTCGAATTTGGGCCCTAAATGCATAGAATGGCCTACTTGTGAGAGGTTCCGTATTATTACAAAAATATTCTAGTTTCTTCCATAAACTATATTGAGGCTTTTGCTTCTTTGAATAAGTATTGGTTTGCTACGTTCTGATAGACCAAGTAGTCTAAATGAAGCAATGAGCATTTCCTTTCATTACAGAATATCTCTCCAAGAGAGCATAATTTCAGTGGTTTCCCCAACATTTATACTTGTACATAATCGTAGAGGGGATTATCAAGTAATCAGATTGGTGAAAACTCCAAATGTCTAGAAATCTTAAGCGAAAAAGTGACACATGAATGATCAAAATTTGTTGGCACCTTAGCAACCACTTTACAAGGGAAATATCACAACATGGAATTGTTTCTCCAAAATGGATTTCTAGCAATAGCATTTTTAGGGCATGCTTATAAAAAAAAGTACAGGCGTAAAAACTGTAAAACTTGACATCTAACAAGTGGAAGAACTGATATCGTATGGTTGCCGAGGGAGCAGTCAAGTACCCATCACACCTATAGATAACTTATAAATATCGCACACGCTATGGGAGTGACATGTACGTGATCTGGAACTTTCTAAAGGTATCAGCGGCGTAACTAGGGTTAAGCTTCTAGGGGGCACCTGGGGGTTCAACACTTTTTTTTGAAGGGGGGGGGGCAAGGAAGGTTACATATACGTTTGTTGTATGCAAATCAAGATTTCAAATGGAGGGGGGGGGGGGAGAGACATGTGCCCCATAGTTACACCTTTGAAAGATACACAGAAAGATGGATTTATAACATCATATCAGGTTTAACAGTCCCTTACATATTTACAATTAAAACTAGTTACGAACCAATAAAATATTTGGATGGTATCAACCCCCTTTAATTGTCTTATACTGCAGTCCACTCTTTTCTGAATAAATTGAAATACAAAATGGTTTTGTAGGAATGAAGCCTTAACACTAGTCTGAATATCACCCATTGTGTCACCCTCTCTGTCTCTGGCCCAACGTCTGATACATCTAGGCATGCAAATTTATGCGACCCCGTGCGCCAGCCAATCAGAGTCAACATGACATCATTTCATTCCAAAATCAGGACTAAGCTGTTGATTGGTAAATGTTGATACCATGTTTTTGTAATACAACAACTGGCATAGAGACCTAAATAAAACTCGACATTGGCTTTCAAAACTGTTACCATACAAAACTCTCTTTGTGGGCGAGACATAAATGCGCAAGAGGGCATTCACATTACGCGCGTTATTTAAAATATGATGTGATGATAATGCAAGGTCACATTCGCGCATCACGTAATATATCAATACAGGCCGCTTGACACAGGCTGTTTTTGTCAACAGAATTCACAATGTAAAAGCATAATAGATGTCATGTCTGGTTTTATTTAGATGTACATGACAATAACTGGTTACTGGTGACCCATAATTATATGCTTGCATATAATAGACCCCTGCTGTGAAAGGGATTTTCCATAGACTACCTCAGCACCCGTCCCCCTACAATTAAGAACAATTCGCAATGCAGTGTGAGTGTGCCAACAAGTGTTTGCCTCAAGAGGACACTTTTCAACCTAACGGTCTATTTAAAAGTACACTAACTTCTACAAAATGAACTTACCTGTACATGGAAGTACATTGGGGAATCTGTTCTTGTGTTTGCAGACAGGTTTCTTGGCTTCCTCACAGTTGACTGCCACTGACATTTCATATAGCGCCTACATTTCAAAGTGAACAAATTGACAACACATATTACATGACTCTGTAATTGCTCGGACTTCAATTACAATTAACAATTGTTGACTGGTGTGATGTTGGATATGACAACACCCTAGGTGTGCATTTCACCTCTGGTGCTATGCACACCGAGGGGGTTCAAAACGGCATATCCCACATCACAGCAGTCAACAATTGTTTTGTTACATCGTATCAGAAAGTCAATATGATAAATGCTTGTAACCTACCCTGCAAGAAATATAAAAAATCAGTGTGGTGTAACCGGTGAAAACTGCAGGCGTACCCGAGACTGAGTGGTTGTGCATATGCATTGCACGCAGCTCAGTCCAGCACGCGTACAGGTCCTACACGCCGTCGCGCAACACGCATTGTACATGTTTATGAGCCATTGTACATATGTTTTTATAGACTAGACATGTGGCCGTTTTCGACCAATGACATTACAGTATCCGAGCACACAATATAATAAACATATATCAAGTTATGTTTTGCTGGCTTAAACGTTTAGGCCGTCAGCTGGATGTTGAAATTCATTCGTTTCGCTCCAGCAATCTAGATTTTCTTGACAGTTCTACTGAAATACACAACGAAAGAATGATATTGTAGAAGTTCTCCACATTTTGTCCTGCAGTTTTTGATAATTTGACTAGAAAAGCAAACTATTTGCTCATTGTGAAAGTTCAAAAACGTACCGCACTACGTTCAAAAAAATCCGCGTATGACACAATCATACCATGTGATGTGAACTGTCCAAAAAGACATCGGATAGGAGGTCGTAGGTCATGACACCCAACAAACATGGTGGCGTCCATTGCCGATGGTGCTCAACATTTGACGTAAACATCAACTGATGCAAATGTAAAAGTGTTTTAATGCATCTGTCAAGTTTGAGGGAAAACCAAAGGATCTAATGTCCGGGGTTATGATAAGTTCACTGCCAAAGGGGGGCTTGCAGAGTTTTGACGTCCGTATAGTTTCAAATTGCACCTCACAAACATAAATTTGTGATGACTACATGTACATGATGATGTCAAGAATCCAACTACAAAAAAGAATTTAGAATTCAGCATGTTCTGTTTGCAAGATATGGCTTTAGGTTTAATAATTCATAAATTCATTACAAATCATATGATCATGTCATAGTGATGTCACATCGATCATGTATCGCCTAAAACATCCCGGTCTACCTACATACCAAATCTGAACCAAATCGGACATGCAGTTCTCTAGAAATACATACATGTAGGAACTTAAAATGTGCACCAATAGAGATGATGTCACGTGACCCCTGATGACGTCATGATGACGTCACTCTTCTGGAGACGAGTTCACTATGGAGTGTATACATAAGTTGAGTTTTATGGGAAACAACTTTGTCTTTATTATACCAAAAGTATTTGGTGGAATAAACCATGTACAAAGTATAGATGGTTGGAACATAATTGATAATTTTGT